AAGAAAGGACTCCTTTGAGAAGTTATGCTCTCTTGTTGTTGGTACCTATTTACATAAAGCAAAAAGTAATAACCTTTCATTACTCTTTAACATTCAGTTATTTAAATTGTGCACAGATACTCATTACATACTAATCTTACAATAAAACAAAACTAGTAAAACTCCCTTGTGTGTATATATGGTATTTACTAATCTGATCTACTGTAAGACTGAATTCTTATTATTCCTTGTAAATCTTTTCTTGGAAATATAATATTTAATGTGAAATGTTATTCGCCCAGAGCACTGACATGTTCTGTTACGTATCATATTTTCACATCATGTTAGTTTTGTTGGTGGTATCTCGTTCTGTCCTTTTTTTCCTTTTATCACCTTTTAAACATTGGATTTTTTTCAACACTGCTTTTAAAGTTAACTTGGTGTGAAATGTTTGCATACACAGTGTCAGTAATGTAAACATTACTTTATTACAGTATAAAGACTTACCAATATCAATACCAATAAACAATACCAATATCAAGTTGCAACTAGGCAATTAGTTGTGGTTATTCCACACATTATGCATTTAAAACAAAAACATTTACTGTTCCTGGAAAACCTTAACATTTTTTAACTTACCATTGTGTGAAGGTGAGGTCACTATACTTGATTTGGCATCGCCTCCTTTTTGGTGCAGCTGACTAAAAATAAAAAAATAAAATCAATCAATATTATTTTAATGATTAATCAATTAGTGAGTAGTGAGTTTACTGAGCTCTGAGTAAATACTACAGAGCACCATAGGAAAATTAACTGTCTGCCCATCACAAAAATGTGATATGATTTGAACTTTATTTGTATTACTGTTATTTTAACAAATGTATTAGTTGGCACTGATTTGTCATAGTAACCCTTTAAAAGTTTGATAATTTCAAATAAATATCTCATTGTGATCATTACATGATAATCTATATGAAAGCCCGAATATAACCAGTATTCCCTTCCTCTTACAGCCACTGTAGTGCATTTTCACCAGATAAATTCAGACGTACATAACTTACAAATCCCAACTTAATTACCAATAATACCTCTGATATTTATTATCTGTTAATTTCCACTATATCCTTGGATAATTCCAAGAATACAGTTCATTTTAAGGAAAATCATACCATACTCTATAGTTGTATAGCATCAGTGATGTTCAGCACTTCAGCATAAAGTAATAAGATGCTGCAAGATGCTTCCTTGTCTAACCTATATAAATATGTGATCTAAGTAAATAGTTTTGTGAACATGCAGTGTTAAAATAAAAGACCTTCCTACAGATGTTTATTATCCTTATTGACAGAACATGACAGGCAGACTAGCTGCACAGGGTGGGATGTTCACTACTATCTACCAAAGAGAAATATCTCAATTGTCTCTCCTACTGATTTTATTTTGTTCTCACTTGAGACACAAAAATATCCATACAATACAATAACAATAACAACAATACAACAATAACAACAATACAAAGTTGTGTCTTACCTTTGCAACTGTGCCTCTGGTGTTGATCTCTGGTCTTTAACAATGAAGCCATCAACGCCCGGTGAGTCAGGATTGGTGGAGCCACTGCTGAGTCTATCACTGCTCTCATAGCCAGACTCTGTCCTTTGAATAGTCCAGGTATCACTACGCAGCAGTGTCTTGGGGCCACCCTTAAGTCTGCTGCCCCTCTGTTGGTTGGGCCTGCTCTCTGACTCTACAGAGCTGTGGCTCTCAGTTTCATGCCGCTGCTCATCCTCATAAATCGTCATTAAACACTTCTGCTTTCGATCTTCTCTGGCTCGTACATATTCCCGCTCACGGCTTTGATCAGTGTGCACTCTTTCCTGGGGTGAAGGCTTACTGTGCCGTGGGCTGTCGTGTTGCTGCTGACGGCGCTGCTCCAGTTCGTTCAGTACAGTGTCCACATTTAACACCTCCCGAATGGGTCTCCAAGTGGACTTGGATTTATTGCGACTTCCATCACTTCCACCTTTTTCCCATTGCTCCTGGCAGCTCTCCTGATCATAGCGACTTGGGGAAGTGTTGTTCCTTCGGCTATGCCCACCACCCTGTGTACCGAAGGACTGTCCACGTGGCTCCTGAGATCCTCTGCTTGAATGGTTTGATGACTTCTCAGTGCGTGGATAGGTTTTTGATTTTTGGTCTGCAGAAGGCCTCAGTCCATTCTCAGGAGGAGATGAAGATCTTGCATGTGCCATCTCTAGAGAGAGTGGACATAGATCATTTGTAGAACGACAATTTCAAACCTGCTCTGATGTACAGTAATTATTTACACTGGCTTGCCCTTGTATGTCTGTGTTTTTGACTCTATTATCAGCGTTTTTATGATGCAGACACAATGCTCTACCTTTGTGTTGTGATGGGTCCGTTTTACGATGCCCTCGATCCTTTTTTGTCATTTCGCTTGGCCTTTGCAAATTCTCCATGAAAGGTTCCTGGAATTTATTAGGACTGCAAAGGGGATGTTTCACTAAAGAAAAAAAGTATTGAAATGGCAGATGAGTGGCTGCTCTGCAATGTTAAAAATTGCACTTGATGCTATGATTTAGTATTTTTGTTCTTAAGTAACCTTTTTGGGCTGCTTACGACAGTGACACAAATAGTACATCATTGTTATTTGACCCTAAATTAAGTTACCTGCATAAAGAATTGTGGGGTTATGAACAGCCAATTAGGGTGTGACATGACTGATGTTGATTATGTAAGTAAATTTTAATTTTAGGTATGTTGTTATTCCACATATGAGGTTTAATAGAGGTTTGTTAGTGATAGTCATGCATCATGTGCTGGGCTCAAACAAATTCACATTGTGTTGTACACTATTTAGGTTGAGGTAACTCTCTGTCCATGAAGGCTTCTCAGCCAGGTCATTTTTAACTTTGTTGCAAATGGGGCAAGAGACAACATAAAAAGAAATCTTACCAAACAACAGATGCCAGTGCATCATTAGCTATGTTAAAATACACTACTGTTGTCACATTTGCCCACCCTGTGGTATTTTTCTTTGCCTCTGTAGCAAGCAGGTCACTGTGAGAAACAGAGATACTGTGAACTGTGAACATCTGCCTCCAAATCAACACATCCACCCAACAGCTGCACTGTCTTTCACATTTACTTCTCAACTCCTTCTTCCTGCATGTTAGTTGGAGCACTGTCTGAAGCATTGTTTCCTTCCCTATATTTGTTTTTTATTCAATTAGTGCTGTAATTCACTAAGATTATCCATGTTTTTGTTAATATCTAGATCTAGATCAACATAATACAACATAAATAGCCTCTCTGAAACACGAGGTAAAACATGATGCATAATGCTGTGTGCATACCTGCTGGTTGTAACAGTGCTGAGTAACAGCAGTGAGTACTGTAAGCTGTAGTAATATGGATTTACTGATATGTCCGTGTTGCCTAATGCTGTTCACCTTTGTCAACTTAAGTTACCAAGACTTTAGTAATGCAAGTAGAGTGTAACACTGCAGGACAGTTGTCTTTTATAGTTGTAAGAAAGGATAAGACCACTACCATAATGCCATGTAAAGCATTTCAGTAAATCTCAATATGAACTAATTTAACAAAAGACAGTAATTAATACTTACAATACATATATAATTAAAGCAACTGAGCCACATCTCACTCTAAAACAAAACAAAAAATCTATTACTTACACATACTTTCATAAAAACAAGAATCCAGTCCCATGCCAGTCAAAGTGTCTGGGAATCACACTAAAGCAAAACAATCCATCTAAGCAGGCAGGGCGCAATTGCCAAGAACCAAGCAGATAAATTAATGGAGGCAAACATCATAAACGTCTAGGGGAGGAGTGAGAACTCAGAAGCAGGAGCGGGAGCAGGAGCAGGAGCGCGCTTGGCCACAGGAGCAGGGATTAGGGAGGGAGGCGTGGGTGGTAATCTGCGTGCAACAGAGGCATCATCCTCATGTCAAGTTCAAGCCAGCACACAGGGCAGGACAATCTTTCTGCCTGTGGTTTAACAGCCCTCTCACAATCCCAACGCAAACCATAACTGTAATTTGTGAAGTGAAATTGTTGTTGTCATAGGTGATGACATCGTTTGATGTTTAATTTTACTTAGTGATACTGAACAATAACAATTGTTCAGATGCTATAATATAGATTTATGGGAATGAAATTATTAGACAAATTGAAATTGATCTTCTGATCCCTACCACGAGCTCTTATTAATCGTTATAAGTAAATACACTACGCTGCAGTTTCACCTCAAGTTCCCTGACACATCGCAAAGGATAATCTTTTTTCTTTTTGTGATTGCTGTTTACTCAAAGTACATAGATAACCCATATACAGTCAGATACATGTATACCACAATAAAATAACATACAGCATCAGCATTTTTACGTGAATATAAGGTATATGTGCATCCTTGAGAAAGACGTTAGTAAACGTGTGTGCGCATGTGTACAATTGCATTGAAATATGTGATTTTATTGGATATATAACCCGAAGACTGACTAGTATATTAGCTGCCTAATGTTAGCTCTCACTTTTGACACCATAATTTGTGTTACGGTGACAACTTCCTTTTCTGATCTACTGAAAATCTACTGACATACTCCAAAATAATTACATTTTAGAATAGTTATGTGGCACACAAGTTTACTTGTGTGTTTAAAATACTATGATAATGAAGTGAAAATAAAAGTGTGTATTTTAATTACTTAGGTGATAATTTTGGGGTAATCTGGACCAAGCCATTATTATACTTCTTTTGATGGTGGTGGTTTCTGATTGGCTGCAGAGTGCATATGAAAAGTGTTTATACCATTGCGGCAGGGAATACTTCATTTTAATTGGTTTATACATGTATGTTCTTATCTATCTTCTTACCGTTCTAAATGAACACCCACAGCTGAACAGATACTTGCTCAATTGTCTCTAGATTGCAGGTTTACTACTTGTTAGAATAGTGAAGTAATATTTAGTCCAAGATGGACAAAGACCTGACACAAAGTTTTACTTAATAAGAGAGGCAAGTTATGTTGCTATGGTTATCTGTTGTTTGCCCTCGCACTGATTTAGAGCTATGTCCTTGTAACTAAGGCACTTTCTGACTAATTAGAAACAATTTATTACATAACTAATCAAAGTTCAAAGTTAGTAAAAGAGAACAGGGACATGTATCTGTAATGTTGTTTGATACAGTAGTCAAGAGTGTGTGAAGTCTCTATATCTATATAATGATGTCTATACTGTATTTATTTTTCAAAAATGTCAAAATACACACATTTCCATGTCAGAAGTACTAGCTAGGGTTAGGTGTGCTAACAACTGGTCTTACCTGTCACGTCACCATTCACTTGGGCTTTGTACCGAGGACACATAGTGGTTTGTCTCGGGGCATCTTCATTAGAAACTGGAGATCCCTCAGGATTAGTGTAAAATAAAAGAAGTGGTTGGAAATGTCCCCTGATACATTTAGAGGCAACATCTTTCCATTTGGATCCAATCTGGGTAAAAAGTAAAGTGTGACATAAGAGCATGTAACACACAGTAACAGACAGTAGACTTTTGAACAGGGATAAAGCAGATTAATAGCAGAGTTCCTAACCTCCTTTACAGTAGCATCATCAAAAAAAATCCATTTTGAAGATTTGGTGTGATAGGCAAACGCTGAGTAATGTTTACTCGCAAAACAGATCATCCCCACCAGATGTAGCTCACTCCGTTTAGCATTTTCATCAGTGACACGGTTGAAAAGCTGAAAGAGAGCAAATTGAGTTTATGTTTGATCTCTGCATATTGGGCTTTGGCAGATGCTAAATCCTATGAGAATAAAATCTATGTGTGTGTTTTTGATACTCTGTTGAAGTCTATTTTTCAAAGATTATAGCACACCTTCAGCAATACTAGTATATCGACACAAGTCATAAAATAGCTTACAACTGTGATCATTGAAATGTATATATATGTAATATATGAATACATGAATCAAAAAAAAATCTCTGTTGAGAAAAGTGATGCAGACAATACATTTTTTGTCATTTGGCGAAGTTTGTTTCAGCTCTTACCCCACACAGGTTCAAACGTGGGCCAAGTGATCGAATTACATCGTCTGTAAGATCAGACTGCTCAGCATCCCATACAAATCCAATAGTGACAATCTCCGGACAGTTCATGAGCACACGGCGGATCTTGATACTTTGACCACAGTCGCTCTGGAAAATATGTGTAAATAACATGGTTATGGAGTTGCTGGAAGACGTATTTTGTTTTTTACTTTTAGCATTGGTTACCTGCTCCCATGACTCCTGTGTTTGTGTTATGTTAGGCTAGACACCCACTGGACCAATCTCACTACTCAACACATTGAGATAAAAATCCTTTCTTTTAAGTATCAGTAATAAATAAGTGAGCAAATTTCTCCAAATGTCAGAGTAGTAGGTTGTGTCTTTATCTCTGCCTCTCTCTCTTTCTTACACACACACACACCTAGACAAAACAGAAATAAAACTCATAATAAAGACTATTTGAAAGATGGAAAAGAGCCAGACAGCAATCATTTAGTTTATACTGGAGCTCGCAGTTTCTGGTAAAATAATGGGTTAAGGGAACAGAACACTCAGCTTCACCAAACTGATGCACACTGAAGAGGAAGACAGCGGTAGCAAATACAGATGAGAGAAAAACAGTGGATATGCCCTTACTGCTATTTTTATCCTAACACTAGTCTAGCACCGTCTCCTTCTGGCCGCTTCAAGTGCAGTGTCACAGCACAAAGCACAGAGTGTACTCTGCATAGCTGAAAGAATAATTTTTGTGTCCATTTTACAGTAACAACTGTTCAGCTGAACGGCTAAATTATTCACTAATAGCTGCCTGTAACAGATGAGCATAAACTAATGGTTGAAATCAGACTGGTGTTTTGACCAAACAGCTGAAGGAGGAAAAGTATTGAGCCAACACTTTGTACACATGTCTAATTTGTTAAAAAAAAAATTACATTAACCTGAACAATCACAATCAATCACATACCGGGCAGCTCCGGAGGTCACCTGTGTTGTTTGCTGCCTGTAGCAATTCTCCAAACATGTCTGACCTGAGCCGCTCATTCTTCCCCAACATGCGATCAACCTGTTGGCTATGAATAAATACAGAAAAATAATAATGTATGACATGCGATAATAGAAAGGTATAAAAATGAAATGAGCAATTTATTGGGTATACCATTTCAATTTAATGCAATCAAGTACAACATAGCTTCCACAAATTCTACATTTAGGAAGATTATAATCAGTTTTTGTTTTCTGAGAGGTGTTAATTCAACTATATGTTTATTATTGAGATTGTAGTTCGTGGTGGTGTTGTACTGGACTGCATTATATTGAAATGTGTTTAATTCTCTTCCCCACTCATGTATGTAAATGGCGCGGGGCAGTTCCAGTTCAACACCACTACAACTTCAATAATAAACATATAGTTAAATTAATACTTTACAGACAGTGACAATCAAAACAGAATATTTTCTTTGTAAAGGTAGAATTTGGCTGAGCTGTTGCCTTAGATTTTACAGGTATACCTAATAAAGTGGCCACTGAGTGCACACATTAAATCCTGTACTGCCAAAATTCTACAATTATTTATAAGAATCCTAGTTAGTAATGAAGCAAATTTAATATGCTGATATCTATAACATTAAATTTAATTAGTGTGAAAGCACAGCTGTATAAAATATAGAATACATTAAACATTCATAAAGGTGTTCCTATTAACACTCCTCAGGAAATTAATCTAAGATGCTTAAAACGCCATCAGATACTTTTCTAGTAACCTTATTTAATACTTTGACATTTAAATCAGGATTAGCACTTTGGCCTGATTTTTGATTCCCATTTTTAAAGCCATGGCAGTAAATCAAGTACTCACCATAAAGCAGTGGTTGAAACATAATGTACGAATTCTGTGAATGGGTGTGGGTCTGAAGATGCACCACAACAGCGACACACAAACTGCAAAGGGAAAGCAGTGCATTACTTTACAGATTAAATTATTATTATTATTATAATAATTATTATACTTAAAAGTAACAGTAATTTCTACTGTAAAACATCTTATCATTGGCCCCACATTCTTCACATCAATGCACATCTTAGTACAGTACTGTATTATTTTTCAATATAATTTAGCAGATAAAATGAGGAATAAATAAAAAGTTAGTGACCTGCTCGTAAAGCATCATTGCAAACTTCTGATGGGTGATGCAGGATTTGGATGAACAAGCATCCGTTGCAGCATCTGAAACTATGTGTAAATGAATTCGCTCCAGGATGTTCTCCTAATATAAGAAATAAGAGAAGATATAGTGCCAACATGGATGCAAACACATATACTATAGAACTATTGCACAATTAGAAACACAAATATTTAAAGATTTTGTCAGTCTAAACTTTAAAAGTTCACCTGACATTGTTTTCCTACAAAATTTCATAGTTTGTCATACTTAACTGAGTTCGCCACGTTTTTTCCCCCATGAGTTCAATATACACAACATTAACAACTATTCAAATAAGGGAAACTTCGATGATCTAGGCACTCCACAGACAAAGATCCAACACACAAAACTAAGCAAAAAAATAAAAAACTTGATCAACTAAATTCAAAATACAATCCTATCAGGGCTTAAATATGCTAAGAGGCAATAGGCCAGAATGCATAATTTACATACAGTAGATTAAACCGGCGATAACACAGCCTCTGCTTCTTTTTACCTTCAGTGTCACAGAGGAGGAAGCACCATAACATTATTTAATACACAGTTACTGCGGAAAGGTCTTCCACTTAATATTACTTTGATTCAAAGCCAAAGGCACAGCGTCAACGTACAAAGCACTCAGCGGCGTCATCCATCAGGCCAAGTTGGAAGCGTTGCTCATCCTTAAAAGTTTCAGCTAGGGCATTACGCAGGCTGTCGGAGGGGAGCACACGCTCTCTGCTCTGCTGGAACTGGCTGAATATACTCTAAAAAGGGAAGATAATAATTAGTAGACTTTCCCGACACTAACACTATTTGCAAATGTTCACCAAATTCTATTTCATGACCATTTTTACTTTCATAGACAATTACTATAGCCTCAAAATGTATCAAATATTAGTATAATAGAGAAATTACTGATGAAATTAGAAATATTACTACAAATAATGCCAGGTTTAGCTCAAAGTGCAGAATCATACAAACCTTTAAAGCACAGAAAATGCAGGCATCACCGAGACAGAAGTGACCTGAGAGCTGCCTCAAACTTCTCCTGAATATGTCCAGCTGCCAAAGCACCTGTGGAGGTTTAACAACAGCACCAGCATCAGAATACTGACATGAACTGAAACCAAATTAAATATCTTATACACAATAGTTTTCATATTATCATTGACTTAAATGCCTGTGTGTGATATAAAAGGGTTGCTAGTACTGCCAAAACCACTAAAAATTAACAATTAACACTTAACTCTTCAGCTTTTTAGTCATTTTCAGCTCATTATTTTGGTTTGCTGTGAGTCCCAGCATCTCTCACTAACCCACACATAAAAAACATGCTCACACACACACGTCATTGAGAAATTGCCAGTAAAAAATATGGGAAAAACAAACAAACAAGCTAACCAGCTAGAGACATTTTACAGACATTTTTTTAGACATTTTATTCAGGAGTTATAATTCTTCATAAAAACACATGTGAATGTTGGCAGGTGGCAAAAATAAGTCTACCCATATAGCTGTTTCTACTGACGAAGTAATGTTAAGACAATGTTTTTTAATGTTTATTTGTGGTAGTTTTAAAGCGTGCAGACATGTTAGAAGGAGAAGTTGTTTGACAGTTGAAACTTATTGAGAAATAATTTAAATGTTTTTTTCAGTAATTTAGAGCTGGCAAAAAATGGTTCTCACCTGGACTGCGCTGTTCAGGAAGCAGCTATTTTGCCCGGGCTCATTGAGGAGGCCTTTGGTGAGCGCGAGAGACAGCATGCTCCCAGGCTGGTAGGATTTCTTCAGGCCTCCTCCAGGTTTTTTAAACATCTTCACCCATGCCATGGAGTTAGAGCCTGCAACTGATAAAAAAAATTCCTGACATGCATCTTCTGTGTGGCATTTCACTAAAAGGGGGCTCGTCTGTGTCTTCTTTTAAAGCTATTCACACCCACTGTGTGACCTTAAAGACACTATATTATATTATATACCGATCAAACTCAAACAAAAATTCTGTAGTGATTTACACACATAATGTAGTTTAGATTACAGACTCAAAACATACAAACATGTTAAATACAGTACATTTCAGTGCATTTTCATTTTAAGTCTATGATTCAAAATGTGATTATTATTGCATGATACAATACAGGCATAATAAGCAACCCTGGATGAAAACTGAGTTAATCTTGGACATCGTTTTCATAACATCACTAATCCAAATGACTGATTTGGTTGGATGCCAGTTGAATCATGTCCTCTACCTTCTCCAGAGTTGGGGGGAGACTTGCTGCGGCTGGACATGCTGAGAGGTGGGAGCTGGTGCGTTGGTCTGGCCATGGGCTCCATCCATTTCATCCCCACGCACCTCCGGAGCGGTTGGTTGAAAGCATTGTCAGGATCAGCCACAGGGCAGCCTCAGCCATGTGCTACTGGACATTGACTGGCAACCGAACAATATCTGAGGACAGATGGGAGGGAAGAGGTAAACTACAAGTCGACAGAGCAGTTAGCCAGGCAGAATAGCAGCCAATTAGTGCTTCAAGAAAGTAGAGAAGTAGCCATTTCCTGCATCCAAACAAACAAATAGCCATATAAACACGAGTCCAGGGCACAGTTTTCCCTCATTAAACGAAGCACTTTTGCAAAGAACTGCTGAATACAGCAGATAAACACTTAAGTAAAATTAAACTTCCCTGGAGTTCATTCTCAGGCCATAAATTGTAAATATCGTTGTATCTTTTGACTTTGAGATGTGTGGCACGTCTATGATCCTTCCGCCTTCACAACCCATCACCCCCAATCTGTATGACAACCACAGCGGCTGATGCAAGAACATGGCAACATCTTAACTGTTTTTAATACTTTAAAACACTTTTCACCTACCTGTAGAGAAAAGACTGAAAACATAATAATAAAACGCATGACTTCCAGACCTTTGAATCCACCCACTCCATCAAGTTGACTGAGTGTGACGGGTTGACAATTATGTCTGATATCAGACAATGTTCAGATACCTTTAAATCTATTTTTATTTGTACTTGACTGCCATTGCTTCATCACTGATGCACTGTTTGCAGACAAAACAATTAAATATACAAAGACTGACTGAATAATGATGGGACAAAATTACAATAAATTCTGAAAAACATTATAATTATTTTTATACTTTTATCATGGCAATTTTCTAACAAAACCTAAAATGGTGCTGTGTTGCTTACATTAAAATGTGTAAGGGTACTGGCTTTGCTCTGGAACACATAATTTTCCCTATTGATATGATCATGAGCCATCATAATCAATAGCATAAACAGCCGCTTGCCTTATTTGAAGCTTAACAAATTGGCATGTGCTACAAGGTCCCACATTAGACAACAACTAAATTCCTTTTGATTCAATCTGATGCTGCTCTGGTTTGTTTACATTTGTAATGTGTGTACATAGGAGGAGAAAATCAATCATTTCAATTATGAGTCGATGAGAAAAAGACACAAAAGTATGATTTGTCAACGAGATGTTTAACTTTTACAGGCATATGTTTTATTTTGTTAGTCTTATTTGTAAACGTAGCCTACCTTTAATGTATATCTTCACAAAATGACGGATTGCAGGCCTTTCATTTCACCCCAAAGTCATAATAGCCCACAAAATGACCTGTTTCATAAATATTCTAACGTCTTCATAATGCAAATTTCATATTCAAAGTCTACATTTGATGTCAGTGCCCACATGTGTGTTTTTGCACCAATCTCTCTGACACCATGTGATACCCCTATAGGCCTATACGGTCTGACATAAGCGCCCATCTTTGCAGCAGGGTTCATAAAGAGGACATAAATCCTATGGTGAACGGGATTTTATGACCATCCCGTGTTTTCCTGCGTTAAATCCTTAAAAAAAAAGCTTCGACGAGCGCGCTCCCACGGCGGAGACATGCTGCCAGTGTCGCACCAGCCTCACGGTGAAGTGAACTGTATGTGGGAACGGCGCCCGGTCAGCTACAGTAGCAGAAATATGCCGCAACTTGCATTCAGGCATTGAGAAAACAAGTGCTCTGCCGACTCACCTTAAAGGGAAGCGGATACTTGCTTCGCTCGCCTCCAATGAAGGCGCAGGGCGGTCCAGCTGTCAACGCGCAAAATCCCAACACTTCTCTCTCCGAAAGCCTGCGAAACAAAACTGCCTAGAAATGACTGCAGATATGTCCAGACGCATGTAACGCACTATCTGTCATAGTGCAGCATTTTCCCCCCCAAATCCCTCCGACACGCACACAGGCGGCAGCCCGAGCCTCTGTGTGATGCCACGCACACCCGGTCGGGACAGTGGGTATTTCGGTGAAAATTCGTCCCTTTTTCTGCACAAACGGGGGGGCCAGTTGATGGCCTGTGCCAGAATGTCCGACGCGGATTAGTGATGTTTTGAGACTTGAGAGGTCAAACTCCGCCCCTAGTGTAGCCTCAAGTGCACTGCTGCTGTATTGCAATCTTCAATCCCTGCATGGCAAACTGTGTGCTGGCGGAAGGTCAGACTTCCAACTTGTCATGATGATGATGAGAGAAGACATCACATGACTGCACTGGTTTCATAATCATGCAGCACTGTGGGGACTAAACCCTGCCTGTTTTTTTGCTTTGTTTTGTTTTTTGTTTTTTGTTTTGTCATAAATGCTCTACTTAAATGTCAAACAATAGAACGAATAGGAAATACCAAATGTGTAAATATTCCACAATTGCCATAACAAAAGCCACACTGGATAAAGAAGTTGTCATGCTTTCATATCATTGGTGCAAATAACGCATCATATTGAGCATGAATTTTATCAACTAGCAAATACAAATATTATGAAGCTACTGTTTTCCATCTCTGTGACAGTAAACTCGACATGGATTCACCAAAATTGGGGCAGATGGAGGGTCTGGAAGGGGGAAAAATCTGCAGAGCCGAGCAGGTTTTAAGTGTAGACAGGATGACTAAAGGAGACTGATGGTGCATAAAAGCCAGAGTCAGAAAAAATATACTCCTGTAATTGGTGTATCTCTCTTCCAGTTTGTTTAGTGGAGCTGTTCAAAATAGAACAATGCTTTTGGTTTGATGTTTGATCAAAAACTTTCCAGATTCTTATTTTAAATCCAGGATGAAATGAGTGATCTGATGATGCAGTGAACCTTACACAATGTATACCATTCTCATCTCCCATGCCAGTTTTTCATCAGCTGTTGCTTTCCTCACTTCCTTTAAATACAGTGTGTACAGTTGATCCTAGTAGATTATTTACAGTACTGTGTGTGTGTGTGTGAATGTGAACGTGTGAGAGTCTACAACAGGCTGACCAGCCTGTGAGAAATAGCATAAATTCACTCTTCATGAGTTGTTACACTGATGGTCCTCACTGATTCTGAGTCCAAGATTGAAATCTGTTTAGGAATATATCAGGCAAAAAAAAACTATTTCAATTATACACTGTGACTGTAGAAAGTTAAAATAAAACATTATTTTCATATGGGCCCTGACTTATTCAACATTATATAATGTATGGACTATGTACTGTCTATGGGATGTGTGTATTAATACAGCATAACTGTATGTAGCATATGTGTCTCTGATCCAGTCTTGGCTCCAGCAAGAGCACTGAAGCCTCCCTGGAGACACATGAAGTTTTTTTTCCGTATTATATATTTAAAAAAGCCTGAAAAAATAAGGTTTCATATTTCTCCCTCTGAAGGTTGCACAGCTGAGTTCTGTTCAGATGAGCTGTCAAACTCAAGTTATTTTTGGAGTTGATTTTTTTGTATCTGTTTTGTTCTGTCTTTTTCCCCCCCGTTTCCAGTGTGCAGTAGTTCAGCCTTTTAGAAAATAAATTGACTTAGACTGACTTCCAGCAACTATAAATATCTATGTGCTACCACCAAAATCAGTAGCTATGACGGCAGTTTTTATAGTTTATAATTTTAGTTTATACTTTTAGTGAAGTTAGTTCTATTAGTATCAGGTTTTTAGACTTTTGTCTGAAGGTTAATGTCCTCTTTTCAGATACTCTACCATGATACTCAACCTCTCCTGCTATTGCTGTTATAATTTATGATAAAAAAAAAAACTAGATTTAGATACAAATTTAAAGCTACTGTATTAATTCATTGAAAATAGTACACATTTAAATGTCTTATCATGACAGTAATTGAAACAGCTGACAGAAAAAATAACTTTTGCACATTTGACTTGATGGATTGCTCACATACCATTTTGTGTGAATGGCATGCTTTGTTTTGGAAAAATGATAGTCGTGTATTCAGTTTGCTCATGAGTTCTCACTGGCCTTAAGTGCACATTATTCCCCTCTTATATCTCCCAGTCTCTTGTCCCCCAGCTGTCTGAAAGGCAGAGTTTGTAAATCATTCTGCATATATGTACAGTTACATTCAGAAGCATAAAAATGATGTGCATGAAGTTAGTTATCAAACATACGATTGTGCGTATAAGAAGGCAATACACTTAAACTGTATTAGAGGTAAAATACAGTAGAAAACACAGGGATTCAACACCAAATATCACTCACATACATTCAGTGTATTTTGCATTCATACACAGTATTGCTATTGTTGTGATATTGTAAAGTTACAATTTTTAGTCGATTTATGACTAGAAACAATACAGAACAAACAGTTACATTTTCTCTTTGTGTTGTTCCACTCAAAACCAGGCACGTGTGACTTAATCCACTTTGTATTGATTTGTGATAGTAGTAGCTATTGCTTGTACAGTTATGAAATATATTTATGTATAGAATCAAAGTTTTTGAGTCTATGAATATGCTGTTTTTAATGAATAGTGTTCAGTGTGAGTGGCACAGTTTCATCGCAGGTCAAAGTCCAGGTTCCTCAGTCTTCCTCCCAGACTGATGTGACCTTGATGGTATTTCCTCAAGATAAAATGTTTCTAAAATAACTTACAGTCATAAATAATCAGAGCTTTAAAACTGAGCTCTTACTGTTGAGTTTTGCAAGTATTTTTATGACATTTTAGTGTTGATTTTAGATTAATTTAATTGATATCTAAATTAATATGTATTTAAATATTCAGCATTTGTTGCGCTCACATAAAGTTTTTCTTTAGATTAGGCTTAGGGTCTTATCTTTATATATATTATATATATTATATATAAATTCTGTCATTCTTCACAGTAGATATAATTGAAATACTGCTTACCAATAATAACTAAATATAACTTACTGCATCTTCCAGTTGTGTTCCATCAATAAATAAGTTTCATTCTTTATTTACATTACATATTCATCAATTCATTTGACCATTTATAAAAGTTACAGTTTTGCCTTCAGTATCAGTGGAAACTCTTCTTCTTGAATTATGTATAGCACATTCATTTAGCTATTTACAAGTTTTTTAGGGTCAACAAATGCATGAAACATGTTGTGGCCATTGGGGGGCAAAAAAAATATTGGATAGGAATTGTGACTGTGCTCCTATTTGAATGATTTGCCTTAATCACAGGCAGGGCCAAAATACTACCAACATGTTGTTGCCACATTACACACAGTAAGATAATCTACAGGTCATCAGACTCTGGGACTTTGACTGGCTCCAGGGTAACAGTGGGTAGGATCAGATGGGTGCCCTCAGATATCCATCCCTGGGCTGTCCTGTTGAAGGTGGGACGCTTTATCCCCGGCTCCTGCAGCTCTGGGTAACTGGGTGGGTTCAGGTCCACTTCAGGGAGCTTGAACGTGATTCCTCTGGGAGATTTGTCGAAGCCACCAAAAGGAGTGGCCACCCTGTAATTGACATCAAGTGTGAATGGTACTCTTTATTGTACTAATTCACTCAAATGCAGTCATTATTTTCTCACCGGTTAAAGCATTTGTAGTCAGGAAGATCTGGTCGTGGGTCTGGTGCTGGCATTGTCAGTTTGAGGGTTTCGGCGAGGTCGGGGTCACTGAGGATTGCCTGCTCCCATGGGGAGTGGTAGGACTTGGGCATAGCTGAGGCTAACTTCTCTGCACTCATGTCTGTCAAGGAGCAAACAAAAACAAAGATAAATATAAATATGAGAATATCACATTGTGGATGATTGTTAGAGCATTGCAACAGAATGATCAGAGAGTTTGGTTTGCAGTTACGGGTTAATGCTGAGCGGTTTTTATTAGACTTTTTTTTACTGGGGAGGCTAAAGTTTTAGAGTGGATAGGATTATGAATAGAGACTGTGCTTAGAGAACACTTACACAGGCAGACTGAGTTGTCCATCATTGCGATCTGAGGTCTTAAAATAGCACATAGTTCAAGTGTGCACTCATCATATAAAGTGTTGACATGGGATGACACCCTACTGGAGCATTTTAGAATAAGTACAGGGCTCTATTAAAATAGAATAAAATAAGAAATAGCATTTAAAGCTGTACTGTCTTATTAATCTTAGTAACTACAATGATGTGGTACCTAGCTACTCAAATTTGTTTCCATAAGACAAGACCAGCTGTTGTGATTGTATGATATTAGTTGTTATTATTATGACAGCATTACATAATCAGTCGCTCTTATTTGAGTGTGCAGCGTAACGGATTAATTTAAAATACTGTTTGACAGTGGAAGAAATGGTTGATGTAGGAATGATTTTCAATTACCAAATTCGCATTGTGTTAATGTTATGAAATTTATTTTTACTTATGATTGTGATTGAATTTTTTAAATGTTTAAATCCTAATTAATGTTAGGATCACTAAGTAAACAGCAAAATTACCTGAAACAGTGTTTTCTGGATTACCAGCACTTCCATCGGCTGGTGGATCCACTTTAATTTCCACAGTGTGCATATTCGCATTTAAAATATCATTCTGCAAAACAGAACAAAGTACAGTACACATGAAGTTTTGGTTATCAGTTCAGTGACAGAACATGAAGTTGGCACATCCGTAGCTGCTCTTGTCTTCCATGCACTCAGATACATACACGCTTTCGCACACACACACACACACACACACAGAAACACATCAACAGGCACTGATAAAGAGGGGAGCAGCTCCTCAGCAAAGTGCCCGAGCAGCCTCTCAGAAGATTTGGCTGGAGGATGCAAAAGGCACGAGGCACATGTCCCTGATATCATTCATGTGTTGTAACACTTTTTTTTTCAAGAGCATATTCCCTGTTAAATTGGCTTGATGAGTAATACACAGAAAATGTTACTAATTTTCATTCAGACATCACAAATGCCAAAACTCCAGATGACAGTCAATATTGTGCAAGAGGATGGAATGGACTGCTCACTATATCCAGTTATTCAAATATTGTGACTAAATAACAAAAGTTGACTTACATTTAGCTGTGCGTTTGCCTCATTTTGGATACTTTCAAATGTATATTTTTCAGATCTTCGCTGGCGCATTTTGAAAAGCCGCGACCCTCTGTTGGAAAGCAATGATAATTCTTCTAACATAATGTCTTTAGGAGTGCTGAGCTTCTTTCCGAGATCCATTACGTCC